AGGAGGAGGAGGAGGAGGAGGAGGAGGAGGAGAAACAATCAAACAATACGATTGTGACAATGATCAGAAAAATATCTTGCACTCTTGTTGTAGCTCTGGAATACAAACACAAGAACGAATCTAACACACACAAAAAATAACAACTAGTCTGTTTGACTGCTGGTTTGTCTGCGTAAGTCAAAGACATACGATAACGGTCATTCGGTGCCGGGGAAAGAAATCGGCTCCTGCCACCACGAGCGCCCTCCCAACCATCAGCAAAAGATCTGTCCAACGCACAATCGATAAACATGACTGTCAGACAAGGTAAGCCAAGCATGTGACAGACATGGAGCGGGGCATTGCTATAAATCCACAAATAATGATATATGTCCCCAACATTCATCCTCGTCATAACATGCCCACTTTTTTTCTCTATAAATCCGAGAGAGACGATCTCCCTGTCTCTCACCTCTCCCTCCCTCGCCCTCTCTCTTTCTAGTGTGTCGTAAATGTACACACACACACACACACACGCGCCCGCGCGCGCGCGCGAAAACACACAAGCAGCGAAACAAACCACAGGCACCACTATTCCAGAACAGGTACAGAAGAACACGCCACTTACACAGTCACAAAGTCCATCACCTTCTGAGCAAACCTACACATTTCTTTCACAAATTTCCGAAGCGCGTGCACACGCACACGCACACGCACACGCACACACACACACACACACACACACACACACACACACACACACACACACACAGACCTCACCACAGACCAATAACAGCACAAACCTTACCCCTCAAACATATTGCTCAGACGATGACCTAGACCTATCCCTGCTAAAAACAAACACCCGAGGAGGGGGGCGGGGGGATAACAGTTGTCGTCACTACTGATTTGACACGTAAGCAACGCCCCCCCCCCCCCCTTTCCCCACACAACACACAAATCAACTCATTGCCTCCCTCCCCTCTAAACAGGGTAACACATCCTCCACCATCCCTCCTCCCAACCCCCTCGTTTCCCCCTCCCTCCCTGACACATAGGGTAACCCCCTACCCTGACACTGCAGACAGGCGTCTATGGTGGCATCGGTGGCTAGGCTCTTTGCCCGCAGTTGCAGAAAGAATACGTAGCATGTTCGATCCCCAAACAGGTAGGTAGACTGGTGAAAGGGTGGAAGATAGGAGTTAC